GGGGGGGCAAGAGGGAAAAAAAAAATCTGTGCAGTTAGCTAATGGCTTCGCTGCCACTCAAAACGCTCAAGGGCTGCAAAGGACCAATGGCCAGACAGGGGCGATTTGGTGATGAAGTCATTGTTTCTTTGAACAAACAATCCCAAATCACAGAATAGCTTACCAGATGGCTAACGCCTGACCTTAAAATATTTTGATTCAAAGGAGCAATTTCTAGAGGATTAAAATACTTGCACACTATTTTTCCATCAGTCCCTTTTTTCACTTCAGAAAGGAAATGCCACCTCCGTTGCTACTTTGCCATTAGTTGGTATGAGATGGTATTGCCGTTTTAGGCAATTCCTGTTCTCTTTGCATAGCAAAAAATGCTATTTTCAAACCTCCGTGAAGTGCAAATGTGAAACAGAAAATTAACCAGAGCTCACATGTGGAGCACACAGGCATTTCCCAGCCAAGCCTGGCCAAAGGATTCATTTCTTGTTAGGTTAACAAATAGGACAGATTTTTCCAACAAAATCACCATGCAGTTGAGTGAACAATTTTGAAACCACTTGGCTTAGCCCAAGAGGACATTTGGAAATAATTATCATCAATTTTGTTACTTATTCAAGCTGAAAAACCTCTATCATGACTTGTTCAAGTCATTTAAAAACAACGACCAAGACTCAATTACATAAAGACCAGAATATGTTTAGGCAAACATAAATTACTGGCTTCATTATAGACTAACCGGCTGACATTTTGTGGCCCGTGCTACACAGGTCAGAACAAATCTGACCTTGAAAGTGTTTAATCTGCGAATAAGAACCAGGGATGAGCCAGTTAACCCTCCAAAAACCAGGAAACAGCCAGAGCTCCTTAAGGTTTATATTGACGTAGGTAAGCACTTCTCTGACTGCACAATGCCCCCTGCACGCAGACCCTCCACCAGGTCTCTGCCTTTACCGGCCAAACCATGCATTGCCATACATTTCAGCCCGAGGCTGAATTCAGACCTTTCGCGAAGGACTGCAACGCGACGAGCGGAAACGCATCTCAGCTCCGCGGAGCTCCTGACCACACCGTCCAACGGGGCTGCCACCGCTAGACAGTGCTAATAAGGGCACAATACCAACAGGCTTAGGAGGTGCCAATTAAGAACGAAGGAGGAGGCTGTTGGCTGAGAAGGCAGAGGAGACCCGGCTGAAAGGGAGATCAGAATGACACTTTTCAAGCCCGGGGAAGAAGAAGAAAGCAACTAACTCTGGAAAGAGGGACACAAACAGGGCAAGACAAACTCACATTTGGAAATGAGGAGACGCTAAGAAGTAACTAAAGGAGTGTGAATAGCCCAGTGAGTACAGATGAGCTTTGTGCATGGCTGGATGTCAGGGTCAATCAGAGCCAACCCTCTGAATAGCTGGCTCTTTGCCTAATTGCATTAGAGAAAGCAGATGAATTTTGTCTCTGTTTTTTGAAAATACAAACTTAGGCGATAGAAAAATGCAGCTGAAGGCCAGTTACCTGCGATTTTTCCACTGACGCTGTGTGCTTGTCACACATTGGACTGATTTCCATTCCTCTTTCACGTTCCTTGTCTCCCTGCTGGAAGAACTCCTCCATGATTCTGTCCGTCCACTGCCGGTACAACTCCAGAGACTTTGTGGGATTACTCAAGTCTGCACAATGTACCATGTTTCGGAGAACCTGTAATTACATTAATCAGAAAAATCATAAAATTAAATGGAAGAAGGGGACGCTTTCATGCTGTATGTGCTCGCTTAATTCAGAACGTTTTAATGACCAGACTTGTATATTGTGCAACATTCTAAAAAAAATTAACATTTTAAAATAATACCCTTTCCCAAATATGAGAGCAGCTGCTAGGGTCTGCTTTAATAGTAAAATCTGTGCCATATGTTGCTCAGACTACTCGACACCTAACACATGCAGTGCTGGACTAATTACATCATATTGGTTTGTGCTTGAATGCAGGTGCTTCCCACCATTCAAAATTTATTTTCATGTTCTCATATGGTGCAATGCTCCTATTTTATTAAATGAGTAATATCCCTTTCACACAAATAAAATGTGTCTGATTAACTGCAGCTGAAAGGATTTAGACAGCAATGGAGTGACCTGTCTTAACATCAGCAGTTTTAAATAAAAAAGTAAGGAGGCTTTTGCTGAGATCTTGCTGTTAAAGGCTGGCCATCAAAGTGGAGAGAGGATCAGGATGCGATTTGCTACTAACCACACAGCCCTCTCCGGTACTGCTTTGCCATTTCTGTAAATGAAGGACTAGATTATATAGATTGTGCACCGCCATTTCAACTCAGTGTAAGAACTGCAGGTTGCTTTAGGGATGCAGTTATAAATTAAACTCTTTGCAAACTTGCTATTTTTCTTCCATAGGACAAATTGTCACAAAAGGGACAAAGCAAGAAAGAAATTCAAGAGCTGTCAAAAACTCAGCTTTATACGTTAACCTCAGAAGAATTTGCACGTTTGCAGTTGCATGCTCTCGTGTTAAAAACATAATCCCCTAACACTCTAGGGTTAAGAACATTATCCCCTTTAGAGCACCTTGTATCTTTTTGTTGGTCTCTGTGATGCAGAACAGAAGAAAATATGAAGCCTCCGGCCCTTGCGAGATCGCTAAAAAAAAATCACCACTGACCTCTGCTACATATGGCCCTTTTAAAAGCTACAGGAAAAAAAAAAAAGGAACATGGTTTCTCGATACTGCACAAGACACGCAAACCGCTCTCCCTGGGCAGGATGGTGCACGGCAGTACCTGTATTCTGTCGGTGTAGTTATCCAGCAGGAGCACCCCTGAGCTGGTCACCTTCTTCGTTTCCACCATGGTCTTCAGGTCAGCTAACAGGCTCATGTGCTTGGACATATCTGTTGCCAATACCTTTGCAGAAGTGAAAACATGACCTTAAGTAAGGGCAGCTGCACAAAGGGGCCATTTTTTTGTTTAAGAGGAGTAGCAGTTTGTGCAAGTCCGAACAGCAGAGGCGTTAATTCATACCATGTCGATCACCATCTTCCTCAGGGTCTGCCGCTGCTTCTTGGTGAGGTTCTGGAAGATGTCGCAGTGCTCTTCCTGAAGCAGTTTGAAACCCACGGCAAGATGGTGGTTCTCCAAAACAGACTCGTCGTTGTACATCAGGGCTAGCTCCGAATCTAGCAAAGACACAAAAATATGGGGCTTCACTATGGGAAACACGTGCTTTCAAACAGGAACCTCACACGGGGTTCTGAGACGTTTATCTGTACACAATAAATCAGGGTGAGGTTTCTTCTTTTGTTTTGGTTGTGCCAAGAGTTTGTGGTTTCCTAATCTGAGCACACATGTATATAATATAAACAGCCCTTTGCTCAGTTCTAATGAACAAAACAGTACTCAGTTTACTTAGTTACAAGCTTCAAAATCACTGACAATAGAAAGCACGAAGCCTGCAAAGATGCTTTCCAAAACAGAACAATACCCACATTTTGGAATTAAGAAACATGCTTAGCTCGTTGCAGAGCAACACACAATATTTAGCCTTATCGTTGTCAATAGCAATAGAAACAGAAAATATATCCTGCATTGTTTGTCCTTTATTAATGATAAAATTTGCACTCGGGACTGAAAGACTCATCATGCATTAGCAAGTAACAATATCCACGAGACTCAGGGTCACTTTGCAGAGTGTACTGCAATAGCTTCCTTTGTTTTGACAGGAATTTAATTTTCATTACTGCTTCATTTCAAAATGTATAACTAGTTTACTGCATAATATTTTGAGAAAGCAATACAGTCTCAAAGTCATTTTTTGTGACCTTACTGGAATGGAAAACGTGTCCCAGGTTTGTAGATGAAGCTACTGTTCTATCTGAAACAGAACTCACTTGTGTTAATTAGAAATTGATTGGAGACACCAGGGTGATCCACATCATGAATTGCAGCTGCAAAAATTGCAGCAAGGATTTCCAAATCAGTGAAGACGGCCTAGAAGAAAAACAGGCGTTTGTCAGAAAAGCCCTTACCTTTCATCTCTCAACAGCTTGGGAGGCTGATTTAGAAAAACAAATGGTTTGTGCTTTTCAATTAGTTTTCTGAGGACAAAACAGTTACTCAGAAGAGTCTGCAAGCAGCATGTGCGCTTTCAGATGGGACAGAGATTAAAGACAAGCTGCTGCTGAAACTTCTTTGCGGTGACTTCCCCGGCAGTGAACTGGGCACCCAAAGGGGAGACAGCCCACTGCATTTTTTTATATGTCTCAGTGCTACAGGTGACTGACTCAGTTTAAGACTCTTCTGCGTTCACGGACAGTCCAGTCTTTTTAAACAGCCCTTTGAACCATCCCGCGTTACCACGTGCTGGATTGCCCAGCGCGAAGCGCTTAGCCCAGAGTAGGGTAACTCACATCCAGGGCCGGGGTAGACAGCAGGACGTGGGTGGACTGGGCCACGTCGGCCGCGTGCAGGCTGTTGTGGTACGCTACGTCGGAGTGGTAGTGGTCTTCCAAAGTCATCATGTACGTCACAAACGTGTCCGACGAGATCTTGAACGTCTTCAGCAGATCTCTCTCCTGCACAAAAAATGTTCAAAGTACACATATCTGTCAAATAAGGATGTGCCACTGTAGAAGGCAGCAAAACAGAAAGCCATTAGGAATCGCAATAGTGTTGCGGAGGAAGAACAAAATCACTAACCTGAAATATAGCATACATGATGCAGGTGAGGGGCCTGTTGTGGGAATACCTTGCAACATTAAATATGTTGAGACCCCACTTATTCAGATCTTCCAGCTCCTTTCGAAACAACAAAAAGAGAACAGTTACAATATTTTAACACATGTACATATTTTTCAAGACGGTTCTGCATGCATCACTTTCAGCAAGTCTTTTCCATTTTCTCAAAGTTAGAAAAAACGAGAATTACATCTTAATTGTGGTAACTACATAAGTGCATGAGCACACATACTTATGAGAGCACAGGAACACCAAGTAACTGTGAAGGGCTGATGTCAAATCACTCGTTCAAGAACACATTTCATGGAGCGACAGGAGACTATTTGTTATATATACTCCTGGGTAGCAAGAAGACAGGGCCCTCCTGGAACGAAGGCCTCACAGCCAGCTCGTGGACGCACTGCTGTGATAAGTACTTGAGTTTCATAATTACTCTCCTTAGCCTCCACCTCATTTTTTCACTATTTTAGTGACATTTCCAAGGATTGCATACATCTAAGAATATGCTATCAGGGCCTGGCACCATTAATTACAATATTTGCAACAGTCACATCCCATAGGGGATACCGATTCCAATTTTACAAATAGGGCGGTCGACCCAGTCAGTCTATTCCCTGCTTCAGGACAATCCTGATTCTCCTCCTCAGCATCAGCACAGATACCAACCGCTGGGACCGTAAGAGCCCGTCCTACCTTGGCCAGATGGTCTTCCTTTTCCGTTTTCACACCAAATCGGGAAATGCTGGTATTATTTAAGCTTGAACTATGCATTAATTTTTTCACTCCACTGATCTGTGTCATGAGCTGCTGTTTTTTCTTCTTCTCTCTGTCCTTCTGCGTGGGCGAAGGGATCTCCACGTCGTTCTGCTTGTCTGGGGGGAAAAGGGGAAAGGGATCAGTGCCGCTTGCAGAGACCCCCACTGTGAGCACCCGACAAACTCCCCCCAAAAGCCACCGTTATCTTTGCTGATCAAACGGTTCTGCACGCCCGTGTGCTTCCACCGGGGGCCTGCTCTAATTGGGGGGCCGAACTGAGCAAAAATCAACGCAAAGCAGCAGCAGAGCCTCTGCTTGCCGCGGAGCGCCGGCCGCCTTCCTCTCTGCCGCTCCCAAGCTGCATCGCTCGGGCACTCGGCGAACGTCCAGCCGGTAGCCTCCGTCCTTGAAGGGCTCCACGTCACTCAGGTCTGCTTATGTTTAAAGACCTCAATTGCATTTATTAACTATTTTCAGCAAAATAAAATATATATTCAAACAACACATTTTTCCTCAATAAAGCACTAAGTATGTATTTTCGAATTCACTCTGCTGGTATCTGTCAGGGCCAACCTCACCTCCAGGCTCTGGCTCTCAGATCAGCAACCCAACTACAAATGGGCGTCACCGATTTGCTAAAGGTTTGCCTTTTATAATACATCTCTCTACTAAAAACGTCTAGAATAACACGATTCCCAGGGCACATATCTATTGTCAAGTGTGTTTAGAGATAGCAGCAATACTGGTGCGTATCAAATAGGTAGCTGGTGGGGCAAAGCTCAGCTGTGGAGATGTGCTTTAATAAATAATCTATCCACATACGCTAGTTATTGCCTTTACAAGTGATTTATTTACTGGATTAAAATGGAGAAACAGTGGCTCACTGCTTGCACATTGCCCATGTTTCATGAACTTTTAAGCAGGTTGCTAGAATCTCTTTGCACCTTTGCAGAGCTGAGGACCTCTGGAGGGACGAGGCATCAGTTGCTTTGCCTTAGCTTAATTAAAAATCTCTGAAATGAGACTGCCAGCGCGCCTGCAACGCTGCAATCAAGAAGAAAGCCACTACTCCCGGCAGCAGCCAAGCTGCCGTCAGGGGGTGCTTCCCCGCGCGTGGTTGCCGCACAGAAGGACTTCCCCATATATCATCTCCTTAGCCGTGACGAACGCAAAAGGCAGCGCAAGATGGAGCTTCTCGAACGCAAGCACCCGAGTCACGAAGTCAGGCCCCTCACGAACCTCGTCAGCTCCGCGACGAGCCCTTCGGAGGAGCGCGACGTCCCGGGGAGCGCTCCCCGGGCGCGCTCTCCTCGCCCTGCGGCCCCAGGGGAGAGCACGGGCAGCGCTCAAGACTCAAACTCCTCCGAGAGAAAGACAACGGTAGAGCTGTCTCCTACGTATTTTTGTTCCGCGTACAGCACAAAGTAGCGCTCCCGGAAATATGCTAATTAAATACCCTTAGCTTTAATTGGAGCGTTCGTAACGCTCACCAGCCAGCTAACCGAGCGCGCTCCCTGCTTCCAGCAGTAAGAGGGCGCGTAGGGATCTCTCCACCTTCAGCGCCCGTACGGCGACGCCGTGCTTTCCCCGGACCGCCGGCCCGGTG